TCAAACATATGTATTATTTTAGAAGAAAATCTTCCTAAGTTCCATTCTCACCCTGCATTTAACATAGAATTAACAGAGCAAAATAACAGAAGTAGTAGAAACTGGCTGCATCTACATGAAATGCTGACTGCGCTGTTGTTACTATGCAGTCATTTACTACTTGTTTAAACAAGTAGTGCCAAAAATGCCTTTTTGTGATGCTAATGTGCAGTAACCTAATACTACTTTGCAGTCACAGTTTTTGCCATGCAACACTACTGAGCAGTAGTATCGGGCTACTGCACAGTCAGTGTCTCGTGTAGACATGGCCATTGAGTACACAGACTACTGACTATGTCTAGGATCCTCAAAGGAACCAAGTAGAGGCAGGTATCCAAATTTCAGTAAAATGCAGAGTAAAGCAAGTGCCTAATTCTCTGGGGACCCTTTGCAAATCCCAACCTATACCATTAAAGAGAGTCCTCTCTTGGAATAATGATAATCAGGTTGACTGGACACGTCAATAAAATGGTATGTTATATGAAACATGGGATGGAACTAGATTCAGAGTAAATAGGATAGCTCTGCTTCAGAAACACTGGTTTTATATTGGTGTAACTTCATTAGCTTTGGTGTGGTTATTCCATCAGCATATGTAAGAAGAAACTCAGGTAGACACTTGATTACTGATTAATATGTTCTTCATTTTTTTCTTATACAGTTTCTTAAAGTAAACTGTGTTATAAGACAGTCCTGGAGATAGGTATTTTTTATTTATTTGTTTGGCAAGACCAAATAAGCAGTAGCATTGTAGCGATTCATTACAAAGACAAATTCCTAAACCCAGTTTTGGTAGGACCACAGTCCATGTGGTAGGACACATTCTTATAATTTTAATTCTACATCTCTCACCTGAATTTGCCAGCAGATATCACCAGGGCAGCAAATGTAGTCAACTCAGACAAACCAATTCCATTAACACAGGCAATTTATGGCCTCCAAAAACCAATGCATTTTAAACCAAAGCTATATTCAATTTGGTAACCTAGTGGTTTGTAGAATAACAAATCTCTTTAATAACACAATCCTTATATTACATGACTAACAACTGTCTTGTGGGAAGTGTATTATCAACATTTTCTCCTGTTTTACTGGCAAAATATGAGAATATCGGGAAAAATACTTTATACTTTCACTTACCCCATTGTCCCCCAAGATGTCTAATTGCTTTATGAGGTCTGGAATGCTGACGTCCTATGAAAAGAACATAAAGGTGTGATCTGCACACTTCATTAGGATGGTGGTGATTGGTTCCATGAACTTGGCTAAGAGCAACAAAACATTTAACATTATCCCAAAGGACAGTCATCCAATGTCAATGGTTTTCAGACTTTGCTGATATCACCACATTTTGAATCAAGGTCTACCATTATGGTTGTAACTATAGACCTTATTCTCAGTCTTCTGTGACATCTCAAATTCTTACTTGATATGGAACCTGATATAGAAACTTAGTTAAAGTTATGAGAAATGAAAAACAGAGTCTTACAAAATGGGATTTGCTGGACAACCTTAAACAGAGGTGGGGCTAAATGCTCTGTCTAGAATAATGTTAACATACCTTCACACCTTCCTTCATACAGTAGATCTGGAGAGCACTTACACCATCTGAGAATGGGTGGATTTGGAGATTAAATGGTGGGGACCGTCTTTCTCTCTCCTTTAATTAAAGTGGAAACACACATGAAAATGTGTTGGAATAATGGACTCTGTAGGTGAACATGTACTGACTAAACAATTCTTCTCTGTAGATGTTCATGCTTTACAAGTTATATGTTCTTTATCTCATAAAAAAACCAACTGCACTGAATTTAATTACGATGGAAAAAAAATCAACATTCAATATTCAAGCTGTCTTGATTGATTTTAACTGCATGCACTGGTTATATGATATGTTTCTATCCCTTGATTGGATAAGCATAACCCTAAGATAGGTGTTTCAATTAGAGCAGCCTATATATGTGCTTGAGGATGGGGGCGGGGTTATTTCAGGAGTTCCCAGAGAGTCACTTTAATTAAAATGCCTCACCATCATGTGTATTAAGCCCCCATAGGTTTAAAAATGGCCATGGAACGATTTATCTAAACCTCATTTGATGTGGTTTAGATAAAGCACCCCAGGGGCCATTTTTAAACCTGCAGGAGCTTATACATGTGAGGATGAGGCCATGCTGGAGCATTCTAATTAGAACACAGAGCAGACTTGATTAATCGAGTCTGCTCTGATGTGTTGTAATTAGAGTGCGAAGCAGCACATGTACAGGCAGCCAAGGTTTCTGATGAAAATACTTTTATTTACAATTCCCTTATTTTGTTAAAAATTGTTGTTTCTGGGAATATTAATTCTTACAAACTTATAAATTATTGTACCTGTTGAGAGCAACAAATTCAAAATAGGCCTTTATCCATTTCTATGAATATTTTGCAATACTTGCTCAACTCTGAAGGACTTAATCCAAGAGAAGAAGGTCTGTAAATAGATGTTCCTGTGCTTAGAAAGGAATGGAGTGGGGGCCAGTTTTATCTTGAAAACATATTTTAGTGTTTTGGGCACTTAATTGAGTGATTTTTCAATTTACTTCTAAACCAAACAGAAACACAGCTGTCAGCTGAAGCTCTAGGAAAGATTCATAACCAAGGAACTGTCACAACTCTGAATTAGAGAAGGAGGTGAGTTATCACTAAGCTCTGAATTATGAGCAAATGAAGCCCTAAGCATTAACTGAAATCTGCAGCAGAACAATAAAACAAAGATACTGCTGAAAATCCAAAACAAAGAAGGGCTTTGAGTCAATAAGCAAAGTCAGCTCAGCTAAATATAACTGCAGATTCACTACTATAAAGGGAAATATAAGCTCACCTTGCTACATATGACAACGAACCTGACATTTTGCAACTTCAAGCACCTTTTAATACTTGTCACCCATCTTCAAACCAGACCTTTAAAGAACTAGGTAAATTTGAGTAGAGAGAGGTAGTTAGCCAGCCATGTTAGGCAAAAGGCAGGGTAAAGACCTTGTAGACTAACTAAATCAGAGAAACATAAGATTTTGTGGACTAAATCACAAACATGACAACTCACATCATTAGATGCGGAGTCATGAATTAAGAATCATGAAAATAAACTACCAGTATGAGTCAAATGCAAAGAAAAGGTGCCAAAAATGGGAATCTGAAACTGAAGACTAAATGGTGATCAACAAAATCTCTGCTCATCTGTTCTCTATCCCTGAAGGTACCTAACCATCAGAGATACCTTATTTTTCTCACTTTAAAGTTCCCCCCATACCTAGAGGTATTCCTCAATGCATGTCCAAACTCCCCCAGCTTTATCAAGGCTGAGTAGCTGAGTGCCTAGGTCATTACCAGGGATCCATGTTTTCTGTTCACCACGGTAAAATGCAGCAAAACATGGAATTTCTCATTTTAAGGAGAAAAATGTGGAAAGGGCAGGTTTCCTCTTGCAGGCTGGCAGAGTTCCAGCCTGCAAGGGGATGAGGGGTGTGGGAGGAGGGCGATCAGGCAGGAGGCTCCACGTACATGTGAGTGCACACATGCACACAGCAGCCAAGCAGCATGAGAACAGCTCCTGCAGCTTCCTGTTTGTGCATGGGGTGGGGATGGATGCAGGATGCCCACTGCAGGCTCAGGGATCCCTGCCCTGCTGCCCTCCCCCCAGGAGCCTCTACAGACCAGTGGGCAGGACCAGGTGTGGCAGGACAGAGCAAAGTAGGGTGGAGAGGCATGATGCCACTGTCGGGAGCCCTGCGCCTCCATGGCAAGGTGTTCCCTCTTGCCCAGCAGCAGCGGGGGGAACAAGTATGCACCGCCTGCCCCACCACTTCCAGGCGGGCAGGGGGCACCTTGCCATGGCAGTGTTGGGCTCCCAGGGGTGGCACTGAGCCTCCCTACCCTGCTCTGACCTGCTCACTAGGCCGCAGAGGCCCCCAGGGGAGGACATCAGGGCAGGGAGCCCCAAGCCCACAGCCACCAGCCTCCATCCACTCCCCTTCCTAACAGCCACGTGGCCCGTGGGGGAAGGGGAAGCCAGGCTCCATGCTCTGCTCTGTTGCAGCATCCACCACTTCCCAGCAGCAACTGGGGCTCATGCGCTGTGGACTCAGGTCCAGGGCCCTGTAGCTCTGGCAGCTGGGGGACCCCTCCAATAGGCAAGGGGGAGCAGGGCCCTGTGGGTGGGGAGTGAGGGGCACCAGCAGGGCCAGGGGGCTGTGGGTTTGGAGTGTGGGGAACCCGCAATGCCAGGTGCTGTGGGTCAGGAGTGAGGGGCACCAATAGGGCTGGGGGGCAGCTTGGGAATGAGGGGCAATGGTGTGGGCAGGGCATATTAGGGCATATTAGGGCTGCTCAGCACTACAAAGCAGTTGATAGGGGGCAGTTGCAGTAAATTTACTGTACCCTAATACCAGAACATGTGTGGATGCTGACGCTTTACTGTGGACATAATTAGTCAACTCTGCAGTAAAGCTCATATGTAGATGCATCCTATGGATGTGTCTACACATGCATTTTAATGCACAGTAACCTATTCTACTTCACATTAAAACGTCACATAAAAAAGTGCAATTATGCTAATGCATAGTAAAATAGGCTATTGCACATTAAGTGCCACTTAAAAACCATGTGCATGCATAACTGCGCATTAAGGCAGCCTAATGTACATTTCTTTAGTACTTCTGGAGGGACTAAATTTAATGCTCATTAGAAAAAGTGCCTTAATTAATGCACTTAATGCACATGTAGACGTGCCCTGCGTGTGGCACTTTGTAGCATCATGATTAGGGCACATACCTGGGAGCTCTGGCTTCTGGTCCCTGCTCCCTGGCCTATTTATACATTTTATCCACTGACTGCTTGATTTAAAATACATATACTGGACCAGTGAACAAGGACTAGGATCCACAGTTCCCCTCTTCCTCGTAAGTATAATAGCCCCTAAGTTAGAGTCATGTTCCCTCTTGTGTTTTTTCTCTTTCTCACACCCAACACTTCTTCAGTTATTTTCTGCTCAGAGGCAAAGCAGGTCTCATAAATTACTTATTATT